GAAAGAGTAACAAATATGCATACAAATTTTCGCGTTTTTTCAATTTTATTAGGATATGTTTGAAGTCAAATAAAAACTGTTGGTTGTATACTTATGACATCTATTATTAATAATAATAATAAATTTATTTATTTGCCCCAACATTTTGACATAGTTTAAACTTAACAATAGTTTTCTTAATGCTTAATAGAAGCGACAATGCTATTTAAAACTAAAAACACAATAAATATTGTATACGATGAAATAAATAGTTTTTATTTATTTTTTCCATTTCCATAGCTGACAAACTTATCGATAAACTTACGCGTTGAGACATGAGCTGCGTCTGAGTCACTAGCAATACACGTGCCGGTATGAGAGCGAGATAGCATATATGATGTAGCCCATGCGAGAAAGGGATAGTGTAAAAAGACATCAACGCGTTCACCAAAAAATAAATACAATTAACAGCAATTTAATATAACAGTATTTTTGTCTTTTTGTAATGCATTTAAACTAACCAGTGAAAAGTAATACCATTTTTTTGAAGACTGGAAGATGTACTCGACTTTCCACACAATTTAATTGCATAGTACGGCATTTTTTACAGTTTTTTAACACGAAAACGAGAGAAGCAGTTCGACCAACGCTCGGTTACCGAATGAAACGATGTATCGCGACGTCGGTAGGCGTGCCTCACGCATAGGTAAAATACTACTTAAACTTGGCGTAAGCGCTTGCCCTTGTATGCGGACTCTAGTGGGGGTGCTCCGTGGTGTGAAGTTATAGGGGGTGGTAGAGCGACGAGTGTGCATCACTGAAATATTGTGATACTACATCAACACTAAATATGTGTGAAGTTATAGGGGGTGGTAGAGCGACGAGGGTGCATCACTAAAACAAATTGTGATATTACACCAACACTGAATATGTGTGAAGTTATAGGGGGTGGTAGAGCGACGAGGGTGCATCACTGAAATATTGTGATATTACACCAACACTGAATATGTGTGAAGTTATAGGGGGTGGTAGAGCGACGAGGGTGCATCACTGAAATATTGTGATACTACAACAACACTGAATATGTGTGAAGTTATAGGGGGTGGTAGAGCGACGAGGGTGCATCACTGAAATATTGTGATATTACACCAACAATGAATATGTGTGAAGTTATAGGGGGTGGTAGAGCGACGAGGGTGCATCACTGAAATATTGTGATACTACACCAACACTGAATATGTGTGAAGTTATAGGGGGTGGTAGAGCGACGAGGGTGCATCACTGAAATATTGTTATATTACACCAACAGTGAATATGTGTGAAGTTATAGGGGGTGGTAGAGCGACGAGGGTGCATCACTGAAATGTTGTGATATTACACCAACAGTGAATATGTGTGAAGTTATAGGGGGTGGTACAGCGACGAGGGTGCATCACTGAAATATTGTGATATTACACCAACACTGGATATTTGTGAAGTTATATCAAGCTGTGGACCAGTAACGCCTGTGAGACATGATTATGATTACAAGGTGAGTACTTATCAGGAGGTGGCAGAGCGACGGGGGTGCATCACTGGATTATTGTGACATTGTAGTTTATTCTAAACTGTGGGCCAGTCCTGCCTAGCATCCTTTACGAACACTAGCGGGACATGATAATAAGGTGCGTATGTAGGGGGTGGCACAGCTACGAGGGTGCAGCAATATTGTGACATTACACGAAATCTGGATATTTGTGACGTATTACCGAGCTGTGGACCAGGAACGCCTATCATCTGCTGTAAACTTAAGCTAGACATGATAACAAGGTCAGTACTTAACAGGGGGTGACAGAGCGACGGGGGTGCAACCCCAAATTATTGTGGCATTATACCAACACTGGATTATTGTCGTATATTATACTAAACTGTGCCTTAGTCCAGGGGGTGGCAGAGCGACGGGGCTGCATTACTGGATTATTGTGACATTGTAGTTTATTATAATCTGTGGGCCAGTCCTGCCTAGCAATCTTTACGAACACTAGCTGATCGAACTGAAAAAAATGTGAAAATGTGATAGTAAAACCGTAAAAAAAAATCCGTGGAAAAAAGTGCGTGGAATAAAACCGTTAAATGAGACGTGCGAGGACGCGACGAAGTTCCTTACGGCAGGCTTGGAGGGGATAGGGATTTTGCTGCGCGACCGAACTGAAAAAAATGTGATAGTTAAACCGTAACAAAAAGCCGTGGAAAAAAGTGTATGGAATAAAACCGTTAAATGAGACGTGCGCAGGCGCGACAGTCGCATACACTAGCGAGTTTGCAATTTGTGTCGATTCTACATTAGCCGAAGGAACTTCGTTCCTACCTGGTGTCCCACGACACCACATCATTATTTTTTTTCGTATCTTTAGTACAGTTTGTCTATAAAGTAGTGACATTAAATGATGGCGCCACTAGTATGCATGTAGCAACCCTGTACATTCGGACCAAAATGATTTTGATACTAGCAGTTCATTCAAGTAAAATAGGTAACTAATAAGACAAACTATACAGTCGTATTTTGTTTCTGTTTTATATTATATATTAGGTACCTATGCTTATAAAAAGTTTAGCCAAGCATATTTAATTGAATCACAATAAAATTATTATAGATAAAATAGTACTTTATAGTGTAAAAGTGTGTAATGTTGGTGATTACCGCTTAGGTGCCATTGAGACCAGAGCCGTTAGGTAATCATCAATACACACAAGTATCATCATACGACGTTTTTTAACACACTTGTTAAGAAAATAATACTAAAAATCATTTTATAGTATATAAAAAGTTTATTTGGAGAAACACTTTGTAAATGTGCAGTTAGTAAAATTAGTGATAGGTATCTTCACTAAAAGCATCTGGCCATGGTTCTTTATGTGACCATTTCTTTCTTTGGTCGGCCTTGCCTGTTTTCCCCGGAGTTTCAAACTTTCCATCATTCTATCCGACTCTTTGATTTTCTTGAAAAAAAGTAAAAAAATATGTAACGGAATACTAAGTTATTGACATGAAGCAATTAATTCAAAATTGGTAGAAAACCTGACCGAGTTGAACCATAATAACTTATCAAAAGAAATGGTCGTACTACAATATTACCTATTTACAATGTCAATCTAACCTAAAAATGTGCAATGTAAACAATGCCTTTTTTGGTCTCAAAATCGTAAATTGAGTAAATTTGTAACTTCAGGCAGATTACAAACAAATAGTTACACGATTACATACCCGTCATAGATGCTGTTCACCCATAAATATCATCCAAATCCCACAAAATTCGTCCAGCTTGGTAGTCTTCGAAACATCGCTGGAAAACTTTAAAAATCACTTCCCGCGTGCCAGTCCGATTTACTTTACTCATTTTTATACCTTTCTGCATAGTTTCGTCTTAATTTATTACAGTTTAATTCAAACAATAAAAAATACAAAAGGAAAACTGTTCCACAACTGAAACTCGATGACAGCTGATGTACATAACTTTGGTGTTGCCAGACACATGAATAATGTTAGTTCCTCTCAAACATTCATGTCACGACTTTATAGACAAACTGTATGTTGGGAGATATTTTTAAGAAAATGGTGAAAAACATGAAATTGAAAAAAACGGTTTTCTCTTTAAACTGCTATTTTAATAAAATTTTACACTTTAAATTGGTCGAACTTCGTGGGTGTATTCGCATTGTATTGTATTCGTTTTTTAAATGCTAAAATTTGACTCTACACTTTTTTTGATAAAATGCATATTTTTAGAGTTATTCGCAAAAAACTTTTTTCAAACATTTTTTCGTCAAAAATCTGTTACTTGCAACTTTGAATAACTCAAAAAAATATTAGTTTTACGAAAAAAACGTATATATAACATTTGTTTCTTAGAATTATTTTTTCTTATTACTTAAAATGTAATAAAAAAGTGCACCACCTAGATGGGGTGGCAACCACCCCCAAGGCTCTAGCGTACAGCGACATGATATAGAAAATGATCCTTGAGCTGTTTCCTACCTTTTGTGAAAATTTCAAGCAAATCCATGGTGGACGAAAAAATTGCGTGCCAAAATGCTTAATTTCCTGGACTACAGGTATAATAAATTATTTTAATCTCTTTTTAAAGATCCTGATTGATTTTTATAATTTCAATCTTTATTTACTACATAAATATTTCCTGTCTGTATAGGTTCCTGGATGGATATCTAACGGCTGCATTAATTTCGATAAAATTTTGTGCATTTCAGTGGGTCCTTGGATGGTATACTCTTGATTTTTTTTATATTAGTACCTGCCTTTGCAATATAAAACGTTTATCGGGTCCACTATTACACAATTAAAATACTGCGGCTGACTTTATAACACTAAAAAGATCGATCATGGGCACCGACCTTGACACACTATTTTATGCAAATAAACCTTCATTTCATTTGTGTGAACCGAAATCGTTGGAAATGGGAATAGAGGCGAAGGTAATAGTGTAAGTAATGGCAACTGCCTGGTAGCTTTACACTCCGGCAAAGTCCTCGAGCAACGACCATTGACAAGGAAGTCTGCGCAGTAGCAATTTTACATACAAAAGCGTCTACTGCCCAAGTTCATTTGTCTGTGGTTATGCTCAAAAAGTTTGCCGCTACCTATACCATCAGGCGGTTCGCATGTTAATTCGCTAACCGTTTAAACAAAACAAAAGTTTGTTGGCGGCTGAATGAATGTAGAAGAATTTACTTTCTATTATGTATTTAGATTATCTCGAATCTGGGTGTTTGTGGCTAACTTATATTACCTACTAACAGCAATGTATTTTTTATAGAGTCACAAAAAAATACAGAAAGTAAATACAATTCTACCGTTATTTGTAATTCCCGGCGCAAAAAGAGGGGTGTTGTAAGTTTGACCTGTCTGTGTGTCTTTCTGTGGCAACGTAGATCCTATACGAATAGACCGATTTGGATGCGTTTTGTTTTTTATTTGAAAGTTCACATGATCGAAATTCTTCTTAGCTATAATTAATACAACATACCTTCACGTAAGACTCCAACGTGCCCTGCCGTAATATGACGTCTACACACTGTATCGCCTCAGTAGGTGGACTAAGAGAGGTGCCGCCAGTTTGCATATATCTGTAATAAAACGCGACAACATATTGAAAGAAACCTCTACCCAACGATATTAAATACACTAGATACACCACGTGCGCTCAAAATGTGTCCCAATCAAGAAATGCTTTCAACACCATTCAAGCACTTCATGGTTCACTGTCACGTGCGGACTGTTGAAAAGTCAACATGCCGCAGAGCTCCGTGAAAATATACTTATAGTGCGTAAAGTTTTGGTTTTTTCGAGAGGTATCCAATCAATGTTTGTTAGTTTAATGTATTTGAAGCAAATACTGTTCTAAAACTATAAACTGATTAAATAGAAAAAAAATGCGATATTTAAATGCATGGTCGGTAATATAGCCGTCTCTTTTCCTTGCGGTCCGTACCTGCTATTTTGCTAACAGCGCATTCAGAATTGCGCGTAGAATCAAAGAAATAAGGTCTATATTCTTCCGCATATAGCAATAACTCATAAAATTTTACAAGCTTGCATTTCGAACTGTCATAAATCTTTGACGCATGCGTTTTTATTTAGATCTTATACGGTATGCATGCGTTAAAGGTGACTTTCAATGTTTAAATATATTAAGCCTTATATTGTTTAGGACTACGCGATCATCTTACAGAGCTCCGTGGAGCGTCCAATGAACCTTTTAGACAGATTTTGGTCACGATTTTGTTCGTATTGGTGTATCTAGGCTTGAGTATTTAATATCGTTGCCTCTACCTTGCTTTACTTAGAACACCACGTAAAGTTACACAAAATTTTTTGTTGTGTCGTGTTTCTCTTGGTAAAGAAACCGAGTACAGATTGGATTTAATTAAGCTAGCTGAAAGGCATTAGCGGCACACTTCTGTAACTTCAGCCATCTTTGCAACTACTAGACAAAACTTTCACTTAACATCAGGGCCCTATTTCACCATGTCGACATTATGTCACTCGCTCACATATGTAAGCCAACTGTTTGTTGTGGGGTGGTGTCTATTTAGTGCACTGATTTCATTAATTAAATGTTCGATAATGGTTTTCCTTATGCCGATTTTTTCTTTGAAAACACAATAAGTGATAGTAAAGGATAAATTTATTAGTTTTTCATAAATTCTCATGTATAAGACATGACTTTTAAGCTTTCGCGGAGAGCCATTTTGTAACTAACAAAGCAAACACTACAATTGTAACGCATCATTGTGAGACATTCCCAATCTCATGTCAAGAACTGATGGCAATTTGTCAAATATGTCGACTCCAAAAATTTGCATTTTTTTAAACATTATTGTCGTTGAAGTAAGATACGGACAATTGTAACAAAATGCCTGTCATTTTTATAAACATTTCCGAAAATAATTATCAAAATTTTCACTTATCACCGATCACTCAAATTTTGTCAGCATACATTATTATGTCAGTAAAAGTAGACTTGGTGAAATAAGGCCCTGGTCATATATAGATTTTTCTCCAGTCACAATAGTTGCAGACAACTATTTCCAAAACTGATAAGTCTCTTACTACGTGCGCGACAAAATGTTCAGCACCAGTATTTTATTTTGCAGCACTAATAGTCTAGCAAGCAAAGTTAAAAAATAAATATTATTTGATAACACTTACGTCAATATTGTACCTAAATCCACTATACCAGTGAATTTGTAAGAAACTTCAAAACTCATTGTTTTACCATTATTGTCTACAATCTCCACCTAAAAAGAAGTAATTAAATTGTTCTTAGCATGCTTTAAATTATATACTTACTGATTTGTTAATTTAAGTACGTTAAATTAAATTTAAATCATTCATAATATTTATTGTTACTTTGTTATATGTAAGGAACTCCAATGTACTCTCAGAGGTGGGCGATAATAGTTGCGACACAGTTTTTATAACTAATGCAATTATTATCGTACACATTTATTGTATTCACTGTTTTTGTTCCAATAAAATATATTTCATTTCATTTCACTTACTGTTCCGGGACCAAATAGAAACATAAAAATATATATCAGTTGTATGTCTATTTGTATGTTAGAAGACTCTAGGGAAATATGAAGACACCTATAATTTTCACAATATGCGTGTTATAAGCCATTCTCAAAGCAAATAATAAAAATAAAGTTGAAAAAATTAAAGATGTCTCTGTACTAAACCCATGCCATGGGAATTTGCGGAAACACTAGTTTTTTTCAAATACCAAGTGCAATCGCAATGGCTATATTGCAAATATTATTCATCTAGAAGGATCTCTCTAAAGAATCTGTCGGAAAAGACTTGCACTTGTCCGAAAATTTTAATTCTTAATTGTTTATGATAGTCCAGTCAATGAAGGCTTAACTTTGCCATTTTGAGTTGATCACCTGCAACCAACACGAAAATTTCCGCAAGGGTTCGTAGATTAATATACTAAAATTGCAGGGTGCTGCATTGACGGCAAAGGGTAAAAAAAAAATGCGAAATGGTGCAAAAACGAGTTTTTCGTCAATATGTCGCGACTGGCTGGAAAAATAGAAAAAGTTTGTAGGACAAAGTTGTAGAAAATTTAATTTCCTACAAAAAAGGTATCAACTTATTTTCGCGTATCTCCCATAGTTTTTACACAAAATGCAATTAAAGGTGCAAAATAAAAAAAGAAAACATATTGTTTGTTTTTTTTCCATTTTTAAACGATCCTACGGGGCAAATTCAACAATCACCAATTACTGAAATATTTAAGGATGAGTTTTCGGCAGTCCACTGAAATGAAAATTGTCTACCGAAATGGTAAAAAATTACCACCGAAATGATACAGCCAAGAACATCGCCTTTGTAGTAGAAGGGTTCCCTATTTTGAATTTAAATAAATGTCTTTATTCTTTGTAAATATTTTTGTTGATTATTTTTTAATAAGAATTATTAATGAAGAATTAATTAATTGTTACTCCTATTAAATCTTATTACTAATTATAATTATTAATATGTACATTTTCAAAATAACGAACAAAGCGCGTTTAGAAAGCGAGAAGTTTATTATTAGTAAATCGTCCCCTTAGTGCCAAAACCGATTATCTGCACTTTTCCGCTACTGAACTTTTATAATACTAATCGGCCCGTCTCATTAAGCTGCATCTACAGGTAAAACCCATTATGCTCTACGACGCATACTTCCTGAAATAGCTAATAAATAAACAAAATAACTGCGAATTATTTCCAAAATTCTTGATTTAAACCCTAATAAACCCATTTAAAACACTTAAATTTGTGAACGTATTAATTGTTGAAACCAAGTTTCGGATTTAAACTCATTTTTCATCCTCAAATATCCTGTGAGATTATTCCACTAAAATAAGTTATCCCACGGTAATTAGCTTTGACTGTTTGAATTTTACCATTGATTTTAATTTTACTAGATGAAGTAAAAACTAAAAAACCTGTCGCTTTTTGAAAAAAAAATATATATACAATATTTGCGTTATATTTGAGGCAAGTAAAAGAAGATACCGAATTTTAATTTGTTTTTACTGAATAACTTTTATTTGTCGCTTTATAAATTACTTCAGCTAAAATCGATTATCAGTGCTTACTCTTTTCTTCCACTGTAATTTATTAGCGTTAGTCATCGTTACTTTAAAATTTATGCTTCAGCTAAAACCAATTATCCATGTTTAACCGTCTCTTCCGTACACAGATCGTGCGCTAGCGAGTGAGTTGCTCACTTTTATTCATTCATTGTTGAATCGCGCGCTGGGCAACACTGTTATTCTTTTGTTTAATTAATCACTAATAAACATTACTGGGTGAACTATTCTGTGTATTTAGTTTAAAATGATGGCTACTAAGAAAGATGACGAAAAATATAGTTAAAAAAAAATATTTAATTTTATTATATGATAATTTAATTTATCATTTCTTTTTCTTTCATCGTGTTCAGCGCAAAATTTACGTTTAAAACATATATTTGATTGCAAATATATGTTTTAAACGTAAATTTTGCGCTTTCATATAATAAAAATATAATAATGATAATACATATTGATGTATTATCATTATCATATAATAAAATTTAAATATTTTTTTTGTCAAGATTATTATATGAAAAAAGGAAATAATAAATAAATAAATACCCGAAACATATTAATTAAATCCTAATGAAGCATGTAGGGGTAAACTCCCCGAGCAAAAAAAAATACACGGTATTCCTCAGAGCGGCAGTGCAATGTGCTGATTTATGATTTTGTATTTTTTCTTGGTTAAGTAGGTACTTCTCAACCTTGGCAAAAATAATTATTGAGTAATAGGCTCTAAATTCATAAAATAAAAAAATACGAAGTGGCATTTTATCATCACGGTGACCTGTTCTAAACCCAATTCCTCTCGTAAAATTACTACCCCTGTAGTTACTTTTATTTTTTGGATTGAAATTTACTTTTATATCAATCTAATATATATAAATTCTCGTATCGCGGTGTTTGTGGTTAAACTCCTCCGAAACGGCTTTTCCGATTCTCATGAAATTTTGTGTGCATATTGGGTAGGTCTGAGAATCGGACAACATCTATTTTTCATCCCCTTAAATATTGAGGGTAATCCACCCCTAATTTTTTTTTTTTCAATTTTAGATATATTTTTTTAATTTTTTTATGATACATCATTCAAAAATACATACAACCCTAAATTTTTACCCTTCTACCACCAACCCCTATTTTTTTATGGCGGTACGAAGTTCGCTGGGTCAGCTAGTAATATATAATATAGCCTATCAACAAAAACCACTATTGTTTGTTTACCTTCTTTCTTATACATGTAACAAGCACACAACTTTTGTTCTGGAAAAAGTTATCATTTCCATGTACAGTAAGTTTTTGTGAAACAGGTTCGTTAACATTGTTTTGTTGTATCCCGCTTGTCAGTGCTCCCTTCGAGCCAGGCCGCCTTAGGTGGATCACACGCACACGCAACAACGTCATTGAGGATTCCCGCCAAATAGTAAGCATACCATTTCAGTGATATGGGGACAATTGAGCTAGTTTTATATATGTAAATGTATTTTTATTTTATTTTTATTTATGAATATTATGTTCTATATATATATCTCTGTGTGTGTATGTATGTGTACGTGCTGTGTATGAATATATAAGCGTATCTGTGGATGTGCGTGCATGTACGAGTATGTTTTTACAGTTAATGTGCAATTGTCTGACGTGTGCCTAAGATGTAATTTAATAATTTTTCAAAATGTAAATGTCGAAATGTCCTTCTTTTTTTTGTTCTTATTTTATTTTTATTATTAAGTATTCTTATGGCGTGATTCTCTAGGGCTAGTCTTGGGTTTGACAGCAGTGCATTCCTGTCATTCTCTATACAGAATGAAGGGGAGGGACTGGTGTTGAATTTGGTTTTGGGTTCGGAGAGTCACGCCAGAATCGATACCAAGAATTTATGTTATTTTGTTTACTATAGCGCCTAACACGACCTCAAACAGGCCCTGCCAGAATACCAGCGCTGATACAGTGAGAGAATATTTTCTCATTGTATCAGCATAAGCTGAGGCAGGGTCCTGATTGGCCATTTTAAATGTAATGATTAATTTTTGTTCTTAGGTTAAGTTTCTTTTTTATATTTTTTTTCCTGTTCCTTATACCATGGCCAATAAAGATTTTTCATTTCATTTCATTTCATTCGGTGGACTGTAATGCCGATAAGAGTCCAGGGAATGAAAGTATCGCCGATATGATACATCCATAAGTTTTTAGAGATCCTTGAGTCAATATAGGTATATTAAATAATTTCGGTTTCTGATGTACGTTTACCGAGAAACTGTAGGTTCGATATTTCGGATGCAGTAGTATTTCAATCTAAAATTTCTAGTTTAAAAATGTATACTAAAGTTAAAGCGGATGAAGTCATTGGCGGCCGATAGTATTTCTATATAAAAAACTTGACTTGACTCGCTTGCACATGATGAGTCATTAAAAAATGGTTTCTGAAGGCAAACGATCAGATTGGCTTATTTCTGTAGCCAAAGTTCTGCATAATCCATGGTACTCCTCAGATATGACACCTTTGTAGCAAAAATCAAAAAAATTCTTTGCTATAGATTTTTTTTTATAAATAGGCTCAAGAAATGACTCCACCAGAGGTTAGGTGACGGAGGAGTCTAGACGCAAAGATAGCTGGTACAGCAGTATTACTTGCCACACCAGCTATCCTCATTTTGCCGGCCTGCAGAATTGCTACTTCACACACGTAAGACGGCAAAGTAATCCATTTGCGGATAGTCTGACAAAGAAATGAGTTACCAAATTTCTTTGTTCACGTTGGAACAGTGGGAATAGTAGTTCACAGTAAGTCGGTGGCAACGTAAGCCAGCGCGTGTAGACTTCTGTAGGAAAGGGGAAGGTAGGTTAAGAGACAATAACTCCTCAAAACATGCGCCAAGGTATAGTCCATAAAACGCGCTTAATAACGCTACATCACGGCGTAATTGACGAGGCTCGAGTTGTTTAGTCACCTCCTTATCGACAATAATGCGGATCGCGCGCCGCTGTAACCTATCCAAAGCATCAAAAAAGTACTTGGCGGAGCCATCCTCTGGGGTGCGAACAATATTCCACGCAAGACCGTACTTACGTCATGCACAACAAGCAAAGTTGCTCAGGCGTGAAAAAACGTTAGTTTTACCGTGAAAGCGCAGACCTGGGCTTTCTTGGCAATGAACTCAACCAAGTTCTTGGTACCGCATTCCGAAATGCAGTCCAAATCTTTATTGAGTTCAATGACAAGATTCTCCCGTTTCTCTTTGGTTTCTACCTGTCCAACGGCTGCGTATCCAAAATATCCCGCATGCACTGTATTATCGTCTGCATAGCAATGAATATTCTCATTAGGAATTAAATCATTGAATGCAGCAAAAAGAGTGTAGGGGATAGGACGGAGTCCTGAGAAACACCGGCATTCACTGACATGAACTGCGAACTACATCCGTCGCCGTCCGTTGACGCTCATGCAGAAAGTTAGCCACTCAGGCACAGAACTGAGTAGGCAGACCGTATCCAGGAAGCTTGGAGAGAAGACTTATGTGCCAGACCCTATCAAAGCCTTGGCGATGTTAAGGCTAATAGCCAAAGACTCACCTCGCTTATCGATAGCCTCACCCCAGATATATGTCACGTACGCTAGAAGGTCACCTGTCGATCGATTCGATGTATCCTCTTTTACTTGCCTCAAATATAACGCAAACATATTATATATATTTTTTTTGCAAAAAGCGACAGATTTGTTAGTTTTTACTTCATCTAGTAAAATTAAAATATCTGGTAAAATTCAAACAGTCAAGTCAAAGCCAATTACAGGATACTCACAGAATATTTTAAGTGTCTACATGAAAAATGAGTTTAAATCCGAAACTTGGTTTCAACAATTAATACGTTCACAAATTTAAGTGTTTTAAATGGGTTTATTAGGGTTTAAATCAAGAATTTTGGAAATAATTCGCAGTTATTTTGTTTATTTATTAGCTATTTCAGGAAGTATGCGTCGTAGAGCATAATGGGTTTTACCTGTAGATGCAGCTTAATGAGACGGGTCGATTAGTATTATCAAAGTTCAGTAGCGGAAAAGTGCAGATAATCGGTTTTGGCACTAAGGGGACGATTTACTAATAATAAACTTCTCGCTTTCTAAACGCGCTTTGTTCGTTATTTTGAAAATGTACATATTAATAATTATAATTAGTAATAAGATTTAATAGGAGTAACAATTAATTAATTCTTCATTAATAATTCTTATTAAAAAATAATCAACAAAAATATTTACAAAGATTAAAGACATTTATTTAAATTCAAAATAGGGAACCCTTCTACTACAAAGGCGATGTTCTTGGCTGTATCATTTCGGTGGTAATTTTTTACCATTTCGGTAGACAATTTTCATTTCAGTGGACTGCCGAAAACTCATCCTTAAATATTTCAGTAATTGGTGATTGTTGAATTTGCCCCGTAGGATCGTTTAAAAATGGAAAAAAAAAACATAAACAATATTTTTTCTTTTTTTATTTTGCATCTTTAATTGCATTTTCTGTAAAAACTATGGGAGATACGCGAAAATAAGTTGATACCTTTTTTATAGGAAATTAAATTTTCTACAACTTTGTCCTACAAACTTTTTCTATTTTTCCAGCCAGTCGCGAGATATTGACGAAAAACTCGTTTTTGCACCATTTCGCATTTTTTCACCCTTTGCCGTCAATGCAGCACCCTGCAATTTTAGTATATTAATCTACGAACCCTTGCGGAAATTTTCGCGTTGGTTGCAGGTGATCAACTTAGAATGGCAAAGTTAAGCCTTCATTGACTGGACTATGAGACCTTTTGAAAGTATTAAAAACAGTGAAAACACAGACATAAGAAGGTGAATTAGAGCTTAGTAAAAGAAAACAATGCTTTGCCTAATTGTAATACTTACATTAGTGAGGAAACGGTCATTTTGTGAAACATTCGGCAGCTTTTCGACGCTATAACAGTTCTTCATTTGATCAAATGCTATAACAGCATTTTTAAAGTGCTTGTTTTTGGATTGCACAAAAGCTTTAGGTATTGCTTTCTTGGGCCTATCTGGTTTGAAGGACACATCATATCGAAACTGAAAAGAAAATAATATATTTATTACAAAACAAATATTTTTTAAAGTGACTTAATAGATATTTACTTACAATTTTTAGTGGCTTGAATGACATTTGTAAGTAGTTGGTGATCACTTGTATATGCCTAACGGGTACAGTGTTTCCTAAAATCTTTTTGGGAACTTTGAAGCGGCATAGGGCTGTGTCTGAACCGCTGGTTTTTGCGTACGGAGTCACAGTGGTTTGAGGAGCAGTAGGATAAGATTGGCTGGGAGCGGGTGGCGCCGCAGATGTAGCGGGGGGTTGTTCGTATGGTGATGAACCAGGTCTGACTGGCTGGCTAGGTACTTGTCCACGGTTGTCACCAGCTCCACGCCCTCGCCCTGCACCCCGACCTCGACCTGCACCAGCAGGACTAGGCTGAGGATAATGTGGCGGTGGCTGTGAAGGCTGACCTCCAGGAACTCCCCTTTGGATATCAATTGATGGTGCTCCTTGTGAAAGTGGTTCTTTTGCAGAAGGGGCTCCCCATTGAGAAGGTGGCCCTCTTTGGGGAGGTGGGCCAGCTTGGTAAGGTATTCCGCCTTGAGGTGGTCCAGCTTGGTAAGGATGTCCTCCTTGAGGTGGTCCAACTTGGTACGGTGGCCCTCCTTGAGGTGGTCCTCTTTGAGGAGCTGGTCCTCTTGGGGCAGCTTGTGCTTGCTGTGGTGGTGGTTCGGTTGGTTGATCCGAAACAGCCGCGGAAGCTTGTTTTTTCCCACTTTTCCGCGGTCTCCTCTTTCCTCCACCAAGACCAAGACCTAATCCACCTTCTTCTTCTTCCACTTTTGTTTCTTCTTTTAAGGGCGGTGTCTCAACAGCACTTGTACTAGTAGCAACATCGCTAGAAGCTGAGGGTCCAGTAATTGGCTCTTGCTTTTTCTCTTTCTTAGGTTTATTTCGTTTGGAGGGGGCTCCAGTTAAACCAGAGAATTCTTCTTCAACATCAGCAGCAGGTTGTGATGTCGAAGGATTGATACTAAGTGACGCCAAAGAACTGGCGGCCTCCTGAACTGATGCTGAGTCCTTGCTGGACCCACCTTTTCCTTTCTTGCCTGCAAAATAAGAGATGTGGGGTTACTAAGATTTCGTCTGCAATATAATAATTCTCAAATTTATATCAATTTAATTTATACAACAAAAAATCCCATCCAGGCCAATATTTTTTGGGAGCACAAAATTGGGAACAAGGTGAAACTTTTACCAAAAGGAAGGGATCACATTAAAAAAACAGCAAAGTACGTGTCGTGCCCCGCGCACTGTAGGGTTTCATAGTTGCCTGTCGTTACCACAATATATTTGAGTAGGAGTCTTTATTTTCTGTATCGGAAATTAAAAAAATCAAATAATATCAAACTATGTATCTCAACTAAATTATCTCTATCAAAGTCAAACAGCGTCTCAAACTAAAAATCAATTCATTTTTTTAAACAAATGATAACAGCTGATCTTTTCAAGTGCTTAAATATTCCACCTAAATATAAAACAATACGTAAAGCGACTCATAAGCTGTAGTTAAATATTTCGCAAACGGACCCCTAAATCGAAAAATAGTCTTAGAAACCGTTTTCGAAAGTCTTAGAAAGGTTTTAAATAGGTTTAACGATACCCCACACGATAGGGTAGACAATGAAAAAAAATCGTACCTACAAAACATATAGGGGAGCTACAATAAAAAAAAACAAAATTTTATTCTACCATTATGTCGGCGTCATTGATATAACATATCTCCACAAAATTACAGCTCCCTAGTAATAGTTTTTGAGCAAAACCGGGGACGGACAGACGGGCATGACGAAACTATAAGGGTTCCTTGTCAGAACTACGGAAGCCTGAAAAGGAAGAAAAATTAAAAAAATAGCCCGTAATTAATTTTAAAAAGTAAAAATAAAATAAAACAACTTTTTTTATAATAAGTTTAAAAAAGTAAATACAAAAGGTGTAGATCTTTTTAACCGACTTCAAAAAAGGAGGAGGTTCTATGTTCGACTGTATATATATATATTTACTGTATGTTCACCGATTTCTGCGTCAATTGTGGACCTATTTTCAAAATTCTTTTTTTATTCGAAAGAGTGCACTTCAGAGGTGGTCTCATTGGAACCAAGTCAGGATCTGATGGTGGAATCCGGGGAAATCGAGGGAAACCTTCAAATTTAAAGGCACGCACGATGTTTTTTATGCATGTTCACCGATTTCTCCGTCATATGTTGTATTGTTTACTTGGAAGATGTAATTATCACTCAAATGGATGAATAAAAAAAAATAAGCAAAAAATGAAACCGACTTCTAAATCTAAAATGAAACTAAAAAGTAAAAAATATTATCTGGTTCATGATTTGGAAGTCGGGCCGGGTCAAGATTGAAACATTAAATAGATTTTCGTTTCTGATCGGTAATAATACGTCTTTCAATCTTGACCCGCCTGACTTCCAAATCATGAACCAGACATAATTTTTTACTTTTTAGTACCATTTTCGATATTGAAGTCGGTTTCATTTATTGTTTAAAAAAAATATTAACTACAATTTTGCCATTGTTTTCTTATTAAGGTATCCCCCACCTACTCACCAATTTTCATGAATCTCGATGGAGGTTCAACGAAATCGGAGGTTGTAGCTGATTTTTGCTTTCATTGGCCATTTTGATACCCCATTATAGTCCATATAATGGGGTATCAAAATGTTGCGTATTTATAATGTCGGCAAAAAATACAATTAGGACCATCGCGAGGACCATCGGGAGAATCTAGTTTACGACGGTCAAGCTATAACCTTACCTTGAGAACTTAGGTTACCAATTGTATTTTTTAAATGATCATCTTATGCTTCTCCCACGCAGCTGCGCGACGAAGTTTCAGGTGGCTTTGGCACTAAATGCGCTAAAATTAGCGTTCGAGATTTGAATTAGTTCTGTCGCAATGAATGAACGGGTTAAGTGTAAAAGATAATTTGCCAAAAAATATTTGATTTGTAAAAGATATATATATATATATATTTGCCTACGATACAAAGGGATGACGCTGCCCTGCAGCCTTAAGGCACTATCCCACGATCTGTGTTATCTTGGGCGAGACCACTCCGCGCCAAACGTATTAGTCCGAAAGCCTGCTATATAAAAGTCCTATGGATCAGAATCATTTTTGGGGTATGAACAATAAAGCCATAGGTCTAGAGGTCGACACCCCTGAAGTTGCTTGATTTTTCCCGCATGCAAAATTATGACGTCACTCCCGGTTTTTATTTTAGGTGTAATTGTAATATATCAATTATTCAACTCATTCAGCTATTCAACTATTCAACTCTGTCATCCTCGGGGGCATTGTTCCAGAGGCGTGGACCAGGAGCGTGGTGGTGTTGTTCTTCAAGAAAGGCGATAAAACCCGCTTGAAAAACTATCGACCTATCTCGCTCTTGAGCCACGTCTATAAGTTGTTTTCGAGAGTCATTACAAATCGACTTTCGCGCAGGTTCGACGACTTCCAGCCTTCCGAACAAGCCGGTTTCCGAAAGGGCTTTAGTACCATGGACCACATACATACGCTGCGTCAGATCATACAGAAGACCGAGGAGTATAATCGGCCTCTGTGTCTAGCGTATGTGGACTATGAGAAGGCCTTCGATTCGGTCGAGACTTGGGCGGTGCTGCAGTCCCTCCAACGGTGCCAAATTGACTATCGATATATCGAAGTGTTGAAGTGTTTGTATAGAAACGCCACTATGTCAGTCCGAATCCAGGAGAGAAGTACGAAACCGATTCCATTGCAGAAGGGTGTCAGACAGGGGGACGTAATTTCCCCTAAACTGTTCACCGCTGCATTGGAAGACGTCTTCAAGCTTCTGGATTGGACCGGACTCGGCATCAACATCAACGGCGAATACATCACTCATCTTCGATTTGCAGACGATATCGTGGTTATGGCAGAATCCCTGGAGGACCTTGGCACAATGCTCAATGACCTCAGCAGTTTCCCAACGGGTTGGTTTAAGGATGAACATGGATAAAACCAAAGTCATGTTCAATGTCCATGTCACTCCAGCACCAGTATCTGTTGGGAATGCGATTCTCGAAGTTGTCGATCATTACGTCTACCTAGGACAAACAGTCCAGTTGGGCAAATCCAACTTCGAGAAATAGGTCAACCGACGAATCCAACTCGGATGGGCAGCGTTCGGGAAGCTTAGGCACATCCTCACGGCCAAAATTCCCCAGTGCCTGAAAAGACGGGTCTATGACCAGTGTGTGTTACCAGTGATAACTTATGGGACTGAGACGTGGTCTCTGAATGTCGGCCTCATAACAAAACCCAGAGTCGCGCAACGTGCTATGGAGAGGGCTATGCTCGGTGTTTCCCTACGTGATAAGTGGCAATGGGCAGGCCACATCGCTCGAGGATCTGACAACCGTTGGATAAGAAAGGTCCTCGAGTGGCGACCACGTACCGGACGACGCAGCGTGGGGCGGCCCCCAACGAGGTGGACTGACGACATCGTCAAATGTGCTGGGAGCCGCTGGATGCGGATAGCGCAGGACCGCGTATTGTGGCGTTCCATGGGGGAGGCCTATGTCCAGCAGTGGACGGAGAAAGGCTGATGGATGGATGGATGTAATATATCAAGACAATGTATGTCAAACGAAAGTTTTTGATGATTAGAATAGAAATGTCAAGTGTCGACAAGCTCTATTTATTCGCTACCCTAAGTCGACCACCATTAAAAATATATATTTTTTAATTTATCTTAAGTCATCGAATACATGGATTCAACTACATTGATATTTTATTCTAATTTATTCTTTTACTTTAACATAACTATACACTACTATTATAAGCTTAGGCTCTTTAATTCTTCAAACTAAGTCGACAGTCACATTCGGGCAAATAAAAGGTGTCGACCAATTTTTGCCAGTCATTTGAGAGGTTCTAGTTTCAGAAAATCGTAAACAAATCCATGTATTCGTCGACTCAGGGTAGCGAATAAAAAGACCTAGTCGACCCTTGACATTTCTATTCTACTCATCAAAAACTTTCGTTTGACATACATTTTCTTGATGTACTTGATAAATTACAATTACACCTAAAATAAAAACCAGAAGTGACGTCATAATTTTGCATGCGGGCAAAATCAAGCAACTTCAAGGGTGTCGACCTCTAGACCCCTTCCCACGGCCACACGCACACGCCGCTAAACCCTTACACGGCACGACCACCCACCGAGGCCCCCCGCGGGGTGGGAATGATTGCATTGCTTTGCCGATTTCTCTGTTATTTTGTAAGAATACCCTACACAAACTATATATATTTGGATTCTCCATAAAATTTACTGTAAAACAGTCTAAACAATGCGTCATGTCTATAATCTATTTTAATTACGTTACGGTAAACTCGGGAAAGATAAAAAAGGCGTTTAGATGGGTAAAATGGAGTATATTTTCAAAATTTCAAAATTTTATTTCCAGATTTTTTGGTTATTTGCACATTCTATTATAACTTACCAAATAAACACATAAAATACTATACTCGCACAATTTAATTATACCTACAGCTCGTCACATTGCGCGCGCGCCGTTAATGTAAACAAACCGCGGAGTATAAACAGAGCTCGAATTTCAAATGGGTCGATAAGGATTAAGCCGGGCGTTTGAATGGCTGTAATTTATTACTCCATTAGCTCCGTGCGTTAAGATAACATTAGAACCAAGATTGTTATGAATAACGTTTGTATATTTTTTAGGTTTAAGAACTTACAACGAGGCATTTAAAAATCGCCTACAAATCAGTCATCTCAGTATTATGTCTATAAAACGAAAAGTATTTTCAATTTTGATAAACAGTTTTTTTTATCAAAATGTACGCGAAATTTGCTTTAGAATAAACAAAAACTAATTACTAGTTCACATACAAGAAAATAATATAAAAAAATATTTCGTTCGTGTATTTGAATTTCGAACGACCGTTCCACCGCGCGGATTTTGTTTTTTTTTTATTTCTTCAAAAATACGAACTCAAGAGATTCTTTGTATTCGAAGTACTAATCATGAATAATTTATTCAATAA